ACACTCCCAGGCTTACTCTACAAGGCCACCATCAATCACCCTGATACCCAAACCAAACAAAGATATCACAAAAAAAGAAAATTACGGGCCAATATCACCAAGAAACACAGATGCAAAAATCCTCCACAAAATATTAGCAAACCACCAATGCACCATGATCAAGTGGAATTTATCCCAGAGATGCAAGAATTCTTCAATACATGCAAATCAGTTAAGTGATACACCATAATAACAGACTGAAAAATAAAAACCATATGACCATCTCAATAGATGCAGAAAAAGCTTTTTACAAAATTCAACACACGTTTATGATAAAAACTCTCCAGAAAGAGGGCATAAAGGGAACCTACCTACCTTAAAGGCCATATAAGACAAACCCACAGCAACCATCGTTCTCAGTGGGGAAAAGCTGAAAGCGTTTCTTAAGATCAGAAACAAGACAAGGGTATCCACTCTCATCACTCTTATTCAACATAGTTTTGGAAGTCCTACCATGGCAATCAGAGAAGAAAAAGTAATCTTAAAAAGGAACCTAACTGGAAAAGAAGTAGTAAAACTGTCACTGTTTGCAGATGGCACGATACTATACATAGAGAATCCTAAAGATGCCACCAGAAAACTACTAGAGCTAATCAATCAATTTGGTAACGTTCCAGGATAAAAAATTAATACACAGAAATCTCTTGCATCCCTATACACTAACAAGATCAGAAAGAGAAATTAAGGCAACAACCCCATTTACCATTGCAACAAAAAGAATAAAAGACCTAGGAATAAACCTACCTAAGGAGGCAAAAGACTGTACTTAGAAAACTTAAGACGCTGATGAAAGAAGTCAAAGATGACACAAATGGAGAGATATACCATGTTATTGGATTGGAAGGCTCAATATTATGAAAAAGACTCTTCTACCCAAAGCAATCTATAGATTCAATGCAATCCCTATTAAATGACCTGTGGCATTTTCCACAGAATAAGAACAAAATTTTTTACAATTTGTATGGAAACAAAAGAGATCCCAAATGGCCAAAACGATCTGGAGAAAGAAAAATGGAGCTAGAGGAATGAGGCTCCCTGACTTCAGACCTTACTACAAAGCTACAGTAATCAAGGCAGCATGATACTGGAACAAAAGCAGGATTATAGATCAGTGGAGCAGGATAGAAAGCTCAGAGGTAAACCCATACTCCTGTGGTCACCTAGTCTGTGACATCGGGGGCGAGGAAATACAAGGGGTAAAAGACAGTCTTTCAAATATGTGATGCTGGGGAAATTGGACAGCTTCATGTTAAAGAATGTGTTAGAACACTCCCTAACACCATACACAAAAATAAACTCAAAATGGATTAAAGACCTAAATATAATGCTGGACACTATTAGAGGGAAACATAGGCAGGGCACTCTTCGGCACTCTTTGACATAAATCATAGCAAGATCTTTTTTTGACCCACCTCCTAGAATAATGTAAATGAAAATAAAAATAAACAAATGGGACCTAATTAAACTTAAAAGCTTTTGCACAGCAAAGGAAATCATAAACAAGATTAAAAGACCACCCTCAGAATGGGGGGAAATGTTTGCAAATAAAGCAGCTGATAAGGGATTTATCTTCAAAATATACAAACAGTTTATGTAGCTAAGTATTAAAAAACCAAACAGCCCAATAGAAAAAAATAGGCTGAAGACCTAAATAGACATTTCTCCAAAGAAGATGTTAAGATGGCCAACAAACACATGAAAAGATGCTCAGCATCACTAATTATTAGAGAAATGAATGACAGTCAAATCAAATGAATGCCAATGAGGTATCACCTCATACTGGTCAGAATAGCCATCATCTGAAAATCTACGGGAATTTCCCTGGTGGTCCAGTGGCTAAGACTCCTTGCTCCCAGTGCAGGGGACCTGGGTTTGATCCCTCGTCAGGGAACTAGATCCTGCTTGCTGCAGCTAAGACCCAGTACAGCTGAATAAATGAAATATTTTTTTAAAAAATCTACATGCAGTAGATGCTGGAGAGGTTGTGGAGAAAAGGAAATTCTCCAACACTGTTGTTGGGAATGTAAGTTGGTATAGCTACCATGGAGAACATTATGTGCTCGGTCGTGTTCAACTCTTTGCGGCCCCATGGACTGTAGCCCACCAGGTGCTTCTGTCTGTGGAATTTTCCAGGCAAGAATTCTGGAGCGGGTTCCCGTTTCCTGCTTCAGGGGATAGTCCTGACCCAGGGATTGAACCCATGTCTCTTGCTTCTTCTGCTTTGGCAGATGGATTCATTACCACTAGCGCCACCTGGGAAACCCGTGGAGAACAGTATGGAGTTTCATTAAAATACTAAAAATAGAACTACCATATGACCCAGCAATCCCATTCTTGGGCATATACCCAGAGGAAGCTATACTTGAAAAAGATACATGCACCCCAGTGTTCATTGCAGCACTATTTACAATAGCCAGGACATGAAAACAACCCAAATGTCCATCAGCAGAGGTATAGATGAAGATGTCATACATGTATACAGTGGAATATTGCTCAGCCATAAAAAGGAGCGAAATTGTGTCATTTGCAGAGACATGAATGGATCTAGATACTTATTTCCTGCAGAGTGAAATAAGTCAGAAAGAAAAACAAATATGTAATATTGCTTGTATGTGAATCTAGAAAAATGGTACAGATGAACTTATTTGTAAAGCAGAAATAGAGACACAGTTATAGAGAACAAACATATGGATACCAATGCAGGGAAGGGAGGGTGAGATGAATTGGGTGATTGGGATTGATAAATATACACTACTATGCAGAAGGTAAATAACTAATGAGAACCTACTGTATAGCACAGGGAACTATACTCAGTGCTCTGTGTGATGACCTAAACGGGAAGGAAAATAAAAAAATAGGGGATATATGTATACATGTAACTGATTCACTTGCTAACTAACACAACATTGTAAAGCAACTATACTCCAATAAAAATTAATTTAAAAATACAAATAAAAAACTTTGTATACTATTGCCCAAAAATAAATAAAGCTGAGCCAGAAGAATAATTGGTTAAAGACATAGAGTGAAATTGCAGTTCAAAATTTGCTGATCATGTGGGTCATAGAGATCTCACTGAATAAAGTTCCTTTTTTTTTTCTCCTTTGTGGAAATTATTTATCTTCTCTACTCTGCAGTCCTGCTTCCTTATTTAATTGTTCATGATGTTAGAGTCACTACTTTGTTTCAAACAGTAATAAAGCGAAAATTTATAAGAAATTAAAATCTAAAAAAATGATGTAAAAACGCCAGAAAGACACAAAAGTGAGTTTGAAGGAGCAAAGGATTTCCACTGGTCATATCTGGGACAATCTGAGCATCAGAACAAATGATACCAAAGGATTATAACCCATTGAATAAAACAGGAGACTTTGTGTGCATACTAATATAAATAAGTAAATGGATAAATTAAAAGGGGAATGTGTTATTTACACAAAGTTTGCTTCACAAAGTGCTTACTCAAACCAGAGGGAGAATGAGTGATCTTACAGTAGAGACATCAGATGAATTAATCAAATGATTAAAGTGAGCCTCAGCAGAAATGGGATGAATTGAAATCTGAATCAGTAGAAAACATCAGACAAGTGAGCATTATTGTACAAAGTTATTGGTTTCACTGTCAAGTTCTTACAAATGTAGGAACTGTTCTGACTGATGGAAACTAGAGTCGCAGCAACTGAAGGCAGCACTTGTTTCTGAACTGGATTATTTTGCTACTAAAGACATTATTGGCACAATTGGCAACATTTGGTAGGATCTGAGGATTAGATGATAATGTTGTTTCAGTGTTAATTTCCTGATTGTGGTTATGTAGGAGAATATCCTTGGTGTTTATGGATGACAGGGCATAATATTGGTAATCCACCCTCAAATAGAAAATAAAGGTTTTCTTTTTTTTTCATAGTGTCCTAAAATTCTTCTGTTAAGTTTGAGATTGTTTCAAAACAAAATTAAACTTGTGTGCCTGCACATGTTCATTCCTACCCTCTGAGAAATTTGAGTAATTTATGAATTCAGATTGAAAACATGATTTTAATCTGGGCTTATCCTCTTTTTCCTCTCCTTTAAATTCACTAATAAAGACAGCTGTGAACAGCAGCAAGGGCTCTGGGTTTGAACACAGAAAACCTGTTGTTAGCTTCTGGCTGTTCAGTTCCCAGCTGGCTGATGTGAGCCAAGTTGCTTTACCCTTTGGAGCCTTAGTTTTCAGTCTGTAAAGTGAGGTAGTTGTGAGGCTGAAAGCAGCTACCAAATGGGTACAAATGTAGGTTTATTACTATTTCATCAGCATAGGGATTTCCGCAGGGTGGGAGAAATAGCTTTGGGATGATTCTGTAAGCAATGTTCTTTTGCGCATTTTAAAGGTGAATCTGTTTTCAATCGAATAATTTGTACTGCTTTATGTTTCATCCTGTGGCTCGATTTCACTAATTAAAATGCACAGCCACCATCCTCTATTGCATGCTGTTGTAGTAGTTCATTTTTAACTTTCCATAATTGGAGGCTGCTGTGTGTATCTGGTGAACACTCAATAAAATTAATTGAGGGTAATGATGATAAAGACAAGATCTATAGTGTCATCGTTATTTCTCCCTACCACCCCCGCCCTGTAAGCTGGGATTGTTTGCATTTAAAAGTTGTTGCTATGGAGTTGAGAGGATAGATTTGCTGAGAGCTTATGGTATATGATCCATAAAAGGCGGTCATGGTAGGTGTCTCACTGAGTAGAAAATGTCAAACTTCATGTGGGAGGATCTATTTGGTTCTTTTATTGAGCCATAAGCACTGTCTTTTGTCCAACTCTACTTGAATATCAAACCTATTTCTGTTGTGGGGCCAGCACCTCCCCAGCCCCCTCAGTCATGAGGGCCCATAGTTCAGTGTGTGCCCAGACCTCCCTGCAGGTCTCTGACTAAGGGCTCAGTCTTGCCTTTGTTACTTAAGCCTTTTATTTCTTTCAGGAGAGTCAGTGGAATGAGCTTCTCGAAACTCTGTACAAACTTCCTATCCCTGACCCAGGAGTGTCTGTTCATCTCAGCGTGGTAAGTGGGGGCAGAATATTAGCAATCACTGAGAAACCATTCCATTATTAACAATAAGAAAGAGTCAAATGAGATTGTCTTTTTGTCATATGTACCTTCCCCACCCCCCAAATACTCTGAGATCTCAAGACAGGCCAGGGAGTTGTATTTCTTTCTTTCTCTAGGATTTCATGAGAGAGGGTTCCCAAATGCCCCCTTGCTCCTCTCTTCCTGGCTGTCACTCCATCACTAGCGTCTCCTGGGTGACAGGTGCTGGGCTTGGGATGGGACAGTCGACCCTTGCCTCCTCAACTCCTGTCCTGGGGCTCCCTGCCTCATGCTTCGCCCCCTCCACCGTGCCCCCACATAACACTGCTGTGTCTGTGCCTTTGCTGAAGCGCATCCTGCTTCCCCAAACCTTCAATACCACCTTTCCCCTGTTTAACCCAGGGTAACCCATACTCATCCTTCAGAACTCAACTCAAATTTTTATTTCAGCAAAATCCTCCCCTCACACCCCCGAAAGCTTAGGTAAGATTTTCTTTTTTTGTCCCAAGCATCTTGTACACTTTGCAGTACTTAGTCACAACACTTTGGAACAACCTGTTTTCCTGTCTCCCCCACTGGACTAAACGCCCACTCTTGAGGATGTGAATGGAGACTGCCGAGCACAATTCCTGGCCAGATTATTTCCTTGAACTCTCTTATACACGTGCTATGTGGTCTGGGTAGAAAAGCCTCTGGATTATAAATTGGGAGATTTCAACCCCCAAGTCATAGTTTTGCCAATGACCTGAGTGATCTTAATCAAAACCTTTAACCTCATAGACCTCAATTTCCTCATCTGTCAGATAAGGTGTCAGATAAGAAGGCGTTTTTCTTCCTTTTTTTCTGCATATTTTAGTTACTGCAATTCTCTGGGTCAAATGCTAGTCACGACCTTCTTCAGAATTCTCAGATGGACACTCTGGCCAGCTATTGATCATCCAGGGGCTATTTTCCCCAATGTTATGGGATCTGAATGTTTAAAAAATTTTGTCTTTCAGCTTCACTAGAAGCAGGTACAGTGTTAATAGTCAGTGGTAATTATCTTAGTATTTGCCCTCTTAAAGAAAATGAACGTGGAAAGGTTTTTTATGATGATCACATTGAAAGCAGTATTACTGCCAATAACTAATAATACATCTACTATATACCAAGTTCGTAATTTATGCCAAGTATGTATCTCTAATGTTTAAAACAACTCTGAAAATAGATATTGGCCTTCTTATTTCATAGTTAAGACTTAGAGAGGAAAAGATACTTGCCCATCCAAGGTTGTATGGTTAATCAGTGAGATTGGGGCTTTTAAACCCAAGCCTATTTTTTTTCCACTAGGCCATGAATGTTGAAAGAAAGGAAGGAAAGAAGGAACTGGTAGATGCTTTTGCTCATTGTAATGGAGCAGAGGAGGGAAAGAAGTCTTTTCCAAGAAATATTGTGTAAGGAAGAATATCTGAAAAAGATGAAGAAATGAACTTTAAACCTGCCCCACTCCTTGCTGCATAGCTAAGCAACCTTGCCTTTGTCTCTGTCCGTTTTCCTAAGCAGCTTGATCTCACTACTTCAGTCTGTAATGACATCTGACAGGTAGCTGGGGAGTAGCCGGGCTGGGTCACCAGCTGCTGGGGAGGAAGGGCCTCTCCTTCCCCTGAGAGGCTGCCAGGCCTCAAGGACAAGCCATTGCCAGGGCAGGAAGAACTGTTGGAAGGTGCAGCTGTTTCATGCCAGTGGTTTCTAGGAATGTTTCTGACCTCCTCTGGTCCCAGCATTTCATGGGCGATGGAGCAAGACAGAATCTCAAAGGACAGCCTGGGGACTACTTGGTTTTGGGATTGCATGGCCTCACTATTTACAATCTGTTGCATTTGTAAAGGCAGATATTTTCTTTTTCCTGTTCACAAGGAATTCCTCTCTATGTGTTTCATTTCTGAAGAGTTAGTCTCATCTAGATTATAAAGCCTGAAAAGATGATAAGATGACAGTCTTCGACTTTTTGTCTTTAGTCACAAGAGAGTGTTTCTGTGTGTCTGCTCTAGGTGATTGAGAAAAATTGGAATATAAACTAACAATTGAGAATGGTGATAATAATTTTCTATTAAAATACCATTGATGGAATGCTAGATATGTCACATATAAAACATTTATTCTTCACAACAGTTGTTCTGAACAGATCCCATTTACAGGTTAAAAAAAAAAATAGCTTCTGAGCTATTAAGTGGAATTGCCTATGATCACATAACTATTAAGTGGCTGACTCTGCAGTTCCAGTCCTTTCTCCCTTCAGTGACTTCATCACCATGTGGACTGCCATTTCTGAACATTTCCTGGGACTGCCTTCTAGCCATTTGGTATAAAATTTGGTATCTCATGGCATCGAATTTAACCTTGTATTTTACTTTTACTATTTTAATCTTTGTTCTTGAGTTGACTTAATTAGTTTCCCATAATGAATATGCTACATGATCTCTACTGTAATACTTTTATTATTATTATTATTATTTTTTTAATTGAGGGATAATTTCTTTATTGTGTTGGTTTTTACCAAATATCAACATGAATCAGACATAGGTTTACCTATGTCCCCTCTATTGTAATCCTTAATTTATAATGTTTTGACACAAAGACACAGATTTTGGAATAATGCACTACAAAGGGTGTTTTCTTAAGTTATCTTTTAATATTTGTTGCTTTTTACTTTTTAGTTTATTTAATTCAAATAGCTTTAGCTATAATTTGCTCATGAAAAGCACAGGTATAACAATCGTTATCATGGAAAGAACATAGCTCTAGTTATGCAAACCTGGTTTCAGTCCTAGTTCTGTCACCAACTAGCTGTATGACCTTAAGTCACTTTACTTCTCTAAGCCTTAATTTACCCATTTGTAATATGGAGATAATTCCTTAACTTTTCCTATGGAAATTAGAGATAACTGTTTATAAAGTAACTGGTGGTACTTTATACATGGAAGGTAAAGCCTTCTGTGCAGCAGATGTTCGTAAATATCTGCCGAATATTAGAAAAATAGCTTATAATGTTATTGTTGGCCTTTTTGTTATTGGAAGCCTTTCATTTTAGGAAGCCTGTGCAACTCATTTTTCCAGAGACTTACTTATTTTGTAGTTATCCAAGAATGGGGGGTGGGAACTTCCTGAAATGTCACTTGGGGGTCTAGGTTTGAACTTAGGCCATGGCTAAACTGACATTCTCTGTATGTGACCTTTCCTGGCCTTTGCACAATCCCTTCTTTAATTGGCCAGCACCAAGCTCTTTCCATTCCTGCTTGCCATTGTTCTCTGAGTCTTTAGTAGCACAGAGGAGGTGTCATCAGTTCATCCTATTTTCATTTAACTCAGAGACACATGCTTGTTACATGCATGGAGATGTCTCCTTAAAAGTTCTCTGAACAGGTCAGGGTTTCAACTCCACTGATTCAGCTCCCTTCACTGGAATTTGCACTGGAAGTCAGGAGGCTTACTTGGAGAGCACGCATAGTTGAGAGACATTCTCCACTGTTAGCCATCTAGTGTCTCCGTGCAGCAGTCCCTCCGCTGGAGCTGTCCTTAACATCCCTTGGGCCTTTGGGACAGATTTGGCCCACAGTTTATAGATGAGTATAATCTCAGATGCTGAAATTAAATTGCAGGTTTGGTTGGTAAAGACCATTCATGAGTAAACCTAGTGATATTTGGTCCCTAGAGCCCACATGCCTCAATGAACAATAAATTATGAAGTCTGCAGCTTTCATGTGTTCAGTAGCCTGAAAATGTCATATGAGAAATTAGCCTTTAACTTCTTTGAACTGTTCTTTTGTATTTCCCAAAAATGTTCCTCTCCCATGGAAAAGAACTCCATCTACCAAACAGTGATTTAATGTATCTGGCTTTAATCCAGTATTATCCAAAGAAAATATTCCTTAGACTATTCTCTATGAGTGAAATGCTTGTTTCTTTAGTTGAATGAGGAATTATCTTCATATCATTTACCTGGTTTCTGAATAGTGTGCTTGTTGCATACTTTTGCAAGAATAAATACCTTTTGTTTTTCTTTCCAGCATTCTTATTTTACTGTGCCTGATACCAGAGAACTTCCCAGCATCCCTGAGAATGTAAGTACTTGGACAGATGTGAATTAAATTTTTATTCTTCATTTTTTACTAATTTTCAAGGAAAATAAAGGGATATATTTTCCTACTATAAAAATAATACATTATAAAAGCAAAACCATATAGAGAATATTTGAAAAATATAGAAGTAAGAAGGCAAGGAATAATCATTATTCATACTTTGCAAAGTACTCACCTATTAATGTATTGGTGTCTCATTGTAGTCTTTTTAGAATGTATTATTTACATAGTTAGAATTACCTCTTATATAAGCATTTTGCCATTTCATTCATAATCATTTTTTTTGACTGCATAATATTCAATTTGCTGTGTCATTTACTTAGCTATTTCCTTGCTGTTGTGAATTGAGTTGGTTTTACTTTTTCTTGTAAACAAAATGCTTTTATATAAAGAACTACTCGTATGAAGATTTCTTTATTAGGGTATATATACTGAAGTAGAATTGTGCTCCTACTACATTTTTTTATTCACTTTTAAGAAAGTAAAGGATTTTTGGATAAAAGTGTGAGGACCCCCGCCTTGTCTCTTAAAAACTTAGCAGTGAACTTGAGCCTGAGACAGCAGAGGGTAATATCTGCCCCCTGAACAAGCTGAATCACATATCTAGTCTAGTCTTAAGACATATTTCAAAATATTTTACTTGAACTGTACATAGTACTATGTAGAGTTAAATACAGAACCACCACCACGAAGGCACTTGATTACTTTTTTAAGTTGTGGCAAAATATACATAACATAAAATTTACTGTTTTAATCCTTTTTTAATCCTCTTTTAAATGTATAATTTCGTTGGTGAACACATTTACATTATTGTGCAAGTGTCACCAACATCTATATCCGGAATTTTTTCATCTTTCCCAGCTGAAGCCAACTCTTTAAACAACTCATTTCCCTTCTCCTTCCATCACCTGGCAACCACTATTCTGACTGTATGAATTTGACTCCTCTAGACACCTCATTTAAGGAGACTCATATAGTGTTTGTCCTTTCGTGTTTGGTTTATTTCACTTAGCATAATGCATTTGTGGCTCATCCATGGTGCAGCGTGTCAGAATTTCCTTCTTTTCTAAGGCTGAATAATATTTCAAGAAGTGGTAGAATTAGAATTCAAACATTAATCTTTTTGATACCAGAAAATGAATTCTCATATACTTTGCTACCCTTTGAGCCCATAATTTAACCTTTTATCTCCCTCAAAATTTCATTGAAATGACAGAAGACCTATAAAATTAAGGAGAAAAATGTCCACTTAATGGCAGAAGAAGCCACCAGGAACTAGAAAATTTTAAGAATTTCTGCAATTTAAAGGAGATGATTATTGAGCAGTCAGTAAGGTATAGACAGTGAAGAAACTCCCCTAAACTGGAAAAGTGTCATAGAAAGAGCAGAAAACAGGGATGTGATCTTGAACATTTATAAAAATTATGTGATAGATTGCACTGACGAATTCAAAATAGGAAAACTCAGATTTTCATAGGCCACTGTCTTATTACAATGAAATAAAACTAGAAATTAAATATTCGTCTACTTGAAGGAATGGTTGGGTCACAGAGGAGAAGACATTGAAATTGGCTATTATTTAGATATTAATGATCATATCAAAATCTTTCCTTTTGGACCAGTCAGTTTTCTCTTGCCAATAGTGTAAGCTTTATTACTGGTGTTCTAGAAGCTGAGTGGGGTGGTAGCTTATAGGATATGAACATTTAGCATGTATACTTTAAGCACGTCTCCTATTTTTGTTTAATTATTTATCCCCTGTCCTCAGCTATACCTAGTGTCCCCAAGTCTTTCTGGTTACCAGAAAGTAAACATTTATTTCTCAGGAAGGGTGCCAAAAGGCTAGTTGACTAGCTGAGTGAGCTGGGAGAGGAGAGTCTTGGGATTGAATACTCTTATTTTTATTGGCACCCTTCCCTTAGCCTTTAGAGGTGCTGGATGTCTCCAATTCCTGAACTTTTCTGGAGTTCTGTGATGTGAGTTGGGCTGGATGCTTGCTGCCCTCTTCCCTGGTCCCAGCCTTTTCTGGGCTGCCAACTCAGTCTTCTCTAGTTTCTCAACCTTGATTGATACTCTTGATACCCTGGACCAGATCATTCTTTGTTGTTTAGGGTTGTCTTGTATGTTGCAGGGTGTTCAACAGCATCCCTGGGCTCTGTCCACTGTAAGATGGTACCACCATCCCAGCTGTGACAACTAAGAATGTCTCCAGACATTGCTAAAAGTTCACTGGGGGTGAATGACCCAGATTGAGAACCCTTTCTTTAGTAACATCTGGCTTCCAAAAAATTTGACATCTCTCTTCCATTACTCTCTTTTCTCCTGTTCTTTGAGGTTTATGCCTTTCAAAATTATATCTTTGTGACTTTTCCTGGCTGAGGGCTGAGAGTTGCATGGTATCAGGAGATAGAAAAGCAAATACATGTGTTAAATCCATGGAAATGCCCACATGTTTTAACTATGCTTCACCTATTAACAGACATTTAGATTGTTTCTAATGTTCTGCTATTATAAATAATGTTATAATAACAGTCATTGCCTAAGTTAAATTCATCTTTTAATTTTTTAATTTTAAGGACTGAGAATTCCTTAAGAACTGTAAGGTACCTGAAAGTCCTGGTAATTTCTCAATTTTCAAAACCACAATTGCTGAGATTAGAAATAATGTAGGAAAAACAACTTCATCTTCTTAGCCCCACCTCCAATTCCTTTCTGCACTGCACTATATGCCACCTCCCCTGCCCCCACCATTTAAAAAAAAAAATTTGCATTCCCTCTGCTGATTTTGCCACTAATGAACCAATTCCCTGCGTATGACCCATTGTCCTCTAAATCCTCCTTTGCAAACCAGTAAAAGACTGGCCTTGTTTGTTTCTAAGCAGGAATAATAAAAACAATCTGCCAGCCTCCTAACATACATGGTTCCATTTAAATCCTTACAGCTACTCTGTGAGAGGTAGACGTGAGCCTCATTTTACATGTGGGGACCCAGGGCTCACAGGCCTGAGGTTAGAGCCCAAGATCTGCTTCCAAATGGGGTGTAGTGACCCAGGTTTGTAAGGAACCAAAGCATTTCTGCCTCCGTATAGTTGACTTTTGATATTTATGAGGAAAAAGGAAAAGAAATGATTTTTCCTATTTCAAGTATGAAATGAAGCAGGAAAGCTTTTCCTCTAAGGAGAATCTGAACTTTTGTAGGACCAATTTGTGTGATTTTTGACATAGACTTACTATTGAGCTCTAGCCATGTTGAAATTTGCATTTTACTCTCTTGGTGATTTTTCAAGGATTAATTTAAAATGACTAAATTGCTGCATTGCAAATTGAAACAAGCAATAACGAAGGAATTGTTAATATGATGTAGCCTGCTAGTGGAAAGAACATGAGTTTTGGAGACAGCCAGACACTGGGCTCTACCACTCTGGGGACCTTGAGATACTTATATTCTCTAGGCTCCTCAACTAATAAAGGAAAATGGGAGGAACAAATGAAGTATTACATGTGAAGTTCCCAGTTCAGTGCCTGGTGCAACAGAGATACTGCTTTTGATGATCCTTTCTTTCCCTTCATCCTTTGGCTCTCCTCTAATTCTAGCCTTAACCTCTCAAGTTGCAGTGGAGGGCTAGGGTGCATTACTTCTTGGAGCTTGTCTTTTCTTGGTTTTTGCTGACATTCCTGGCTGTGAAGATCAACACTTCTCATGGAGTGTATGTTTGGCTATGAAAGCCTCTTAGCAGCCACCGTTGACTGGAAATGGTAAAAGGAATGGAGTCCAGGACTCTCGTGCCTGTCATGTGGAAGGTGTTGTATATACTATATGATTATCTCCTCTTAGGAACATACTGAACTAAGAGAACAAGTAAAGAAAAGGGCAAAAGGTTTGGGGTATGAAACTTGATTCTGTCACTAGATAATGATATTCTTTGGACGATTTCAGGGCAGGGTTAACATGAGAGACAGAGGAGGTAGTACTGGTTGAACACCCACCATGGATCAGATGAGGTACTATTAATGTTTGTTATATCATGACATCTTCACAGCCACCTTACAGTGTGGTTGTTATCCCTACTCTGAAGAGGAAATGAAGCCCAGAGATGTAAAGTAACTTGCCCCTAGCTCCCCAGCCAGTCACATTTGGGTCAGTCTGATTTTAGCACCGAGGGCTGCTGGGTCCTGGTCCTCCACTCCACGGCTCCCAGTGCCTTCCTAAGAAGTCACTCATCCTAAGTGTAAATTATATAATTAATTGTGTGACTATGTGTTTAATTTCTCCTTTCATATAGACAGGGGTCAGTATTTTTTCAGCACTGAATCTCCATAATTAACACTGTACCTAGAACAGAGTAGATATTCAGTGTACATTTATGAAATGATAGAATGAATGAATGAGCAATGCAGTCACTCTCTGGAGAAGGAAAAATAACAGTTCCTTTCACTTGGCTTTTGGGCCAGTGAGTCTGCAAGATGCTAATGAAAAGCAAATGTAGAAAATTAATTCTTTCCATTTTCAGATGCCTGTTGAAGTTAATTCTCATTATTTCTTCAGTTTCTGTGTAAAAATATTTTCTTCCTTTTCACTGAAAAACTATCACTATGTAATTGCTCTTCAGGGTTTTTTCTGTCTATCAAGATAACACATGTAGGAGTGAATTTTATACAGGCAGTAATTAAATGAGCATAAATTTTTATAAATTTCAAACTGTTGACCTGCATTTTTAAAAAAAGTCACAGATCATGAACAGATATGTAATAATAATTACATTGTAAACTGGTTGTGTAAGGGATTTTTTTAGTGGTCAGGTTTTGAAGTTTACTTTTGATTAATGGATAATCATATAGACCTTCTTTTAGAATATTAAACAAACCTGTCTTAATTATCTGGCCTGTGTCATACCAAGTGGTTAATGATGCGAGGAAAGCATTTAAAATGGACGGTTACATATAACATTGGCCAGACTCCGCTTTGTCAAAAGATGCACCAT